AATGAGTGAATGATTGAATGAATGAACGAACGATCGAACGATTGGATGTATAGATAGACGAATGAATGAAAGCTTTTAAAACGAAACTTTATGTGGAAGCAATGGTAGTAACATCAAATGCCAGTTTAGTAATTTCGACTATTGCTACTACTACTACCACCCACGTTTCATTCATTACTATTATCCCTGCTACTGCTACTACAACTGCTACTGCTGCTACTACTGCTACTGCTGCTACTACTGCTACTACAACTGCTACCACAACTGCTACTGCTGCTACTACTGCTACTACAACTGCTACTACAACTGCTACTACAACTGCTACTACAACTGCTACTGCTGCTACTACAACTGCTACTACAACTGCTACTACAACTGCTACTACTACTACTACAGCTACTACAACTGCTACTACAACTGCTACTACTACTACTACAGCTACTACAACTGCTACTATTACTATTTTTTGTAATTTTCTAAACTAAATTAATGAACAAATAGGCTTGCGCGGTAAAATTAGCACAGCAGTATTATGAACATGCCAGTAGAACCAGCGAGGCTTTTAACCAGGCTGAAGTTAATGAGTCAGGAAAAAATTTAAATCGATAAATTAAATTAAACACTCCACACACAAGTATACCAAACACACGTGTGTGTGTGTTTGTATGTATGTGTTTGTGTGTGTATGTGTGTGTGTGTGTGTGTGTGCGTATAAATGTTTCGTAGTGCTGGTTTAGTTTATAATACACAACCTCAAAACGTCAATATTAAATGCGTACAACAATATATAGACGCCGTTATTATACGTGTGTGTTTGTTTGTTTTTGTGTGCGTAAGTTAAGATTATGTGTGTGTGTGTTTGTGTGTGTGTGTGGTGTGTGTGTGTGTGTGTGTGTGTGTGTGTGTGGTTTGAGAAATGTGCAATTTTGTGTGCGTGTGGTGTCTGCCAATGTGTACAATTAAACTGAAAAATAGGAAGATAAAAAGAAGAGAGAGAAAGAGAGAAAGAGAGAGTAAAAGAAAGAGAGAACGAGAGAGAGAGAAAGAGAGAGAGAGGGGGAAGCTAGTTTGAGATAATATACAGAAAATAAGTTTAGCGTAGCAGTTGCGGAAG